TATTGTTAACCCATTGCCGCCAGGGAAAATGAACAAAAAATGGGGAAAATACTGTACTCATTTATTATATTTTTGTGAAATATCTCTGTACACAGATGGCTCTGCTAGTCCTGATTTCACCTTTCCTTGAATTGGCGGGAAAAAATGTATTCTTACTAGAGCTATAAATATAAATTGTGTTATTTTTAATAGCAAATTATGATAACGTTAAATATTTTTGTAAATCGATGAAAAGGGTGAACGGGCGAGACAGGCAGTACTCGTAATTGGCTCATTGGTGACTTAGTACAAGTGAAGCCATCTATGTGTAAAAACAATCAAACAAGTCGACTCACAGTGGGCATGGCATGTACATACATGCCATGCCAACAATAACAACAACAACAACAATGATAATAATAATAATAATAATAATAATAATAATAATAATAATAATAATAATAGATATGACTAGCAACTAATTCCCTGGTAATAAAGCATTTATGGAGCCATCTATCTGTAAAGGTATGGCATGTATTTTTGCCATCCCAGCATCAGTGTGTTAATGATATAACTGTAATATCTAACAAGTTTCTAAGATAATCACAAACTACAGATCATCAATGACCCTGAAATTTTTTTATATCCCGGCAAAAAGTACTCTGGCTCCCATAGTTCCCACATATCACGCTTAGCCCTGGCCTAAAGGGTGATAATCCTGGTCTGGAGTCTAGTTGCAGAGTCTACTGAGGATCGCAGAGCCAGATTAACTTTTCAGTTGTGTTTCAGATACCTGGGTCTTTTGCTCTGTTTTGGTCTCACGCCTTTGCTTCTCATTCATGTTTGCCCTATAATTCATGGAGGAAATGTGCTAGTGTATGTGTAAAGAATAACTGCAAAAGGAAGGGGTTAATGCTGGGAAATAATAAGAGGTTATATGAGATTCAGGTGAGGTCTCAACCAAAACTACCTTTAACCCAATGGCGCCAGGTGTACAAAACAAAAAAAAAAAAACTCTACGCTTAAACAAACAAAGGCGGCGCGCCGACTTTGAGCATGTGAGTAGGGGACATCAGCCCGAATCACTGGCTCGCCGCGCTTTGGCGCGGCGCCGGCTCGTTTGGCTGCACGCCAGCTTTCGAGCTCTTTGTTTACACGCCGATCGGCGTCACCCGGCACCAAGGGGTTAAAATGTGTATGTCAATGACTTCTACTATGTAAATTTCTCATTTGCAACATATGGTGTCAGCCATATTATCACAGTGTAATAGGCAGGCCAACTGAAGCTTAGCCAGAGAAGATGGAGAAATAATTATGATTATATGATGAACAGAAAAGTAAGTATAATAAATGAGGAAATAGTTAAAACATGATCAGGTTTCAGTAATTTTGTTTACAAGAAAATATAAGAACTATACTAATATACATATTAACGCATAAAAAGTAGAGTCAAGTAATGCATAACAGCAACCTAACTATCTGTGTTGTTTATAAATAAATGCTGCACATAATTACTCATGTGTCTTCTATTAACAAACTGAGAGAAGTAAAGAATACCTGATTTGAGGTATCATATCTCACCTGTTCCAAATTAGCTAATAAAGGCTTGCTATTCTGTGAACTGGTGACAACGTTGACAAGCGCATTTCCAGTGCAGGTTAGGTGGTTGCGTCGGTGACTCAGAGCCCCCATCCACATGCCTAGGCACAGGTTGCGGAGATTGGGTAGTCGCTCCAGAAGGCTTGACAAGAAGGCCTGTTACAATGGGAGAGCAGTTGTATGGTAATTTTTACAAAAAGACAGGTATTAATAATGGTTTTACTACTCACATATATTTCTGGACCCAGAATCTTGGTTATTAATAATTGTTTATATTGTATAACTGCACTTACTTTTTGAAAAACATGATCAAAGTTTTACCATAAATGAATAGATACATATACACTCATCTGAGACTCAAACTATATTTACTTTTATTAGCAATATCATTATAAAACTTCACTTTCCAAATTCAGCTTCTTTAACTGTTAATGTAAAATGACATCTATACAGCAGAAATGCAGTAAACCAGCGTTTCCCATTTTCTAACTATATCAATCCAGCACTTGCTGGATCAGTCCCTTTGTTTCTACCTTAAGTTGAAGTACTAGCTTAGAAATGACTGTTGGGCTATTGAGATTCCTATCTTTATGAACTGTCAACAACTTCAGAATTCATTTTAACACTGACATCCTTTTTGTGTGTGTGTGTGTGTTGGTAGTCAAAAGATTAAGATAACAGCCTCACCTCAGAGGGCTCTTTGGTGGCTTCAAACAATGATGCTATCCGTAGAGTTATCAACTTCTGATGCACTGCGTACTTAGACTTGGACAACCGTTCATGTAAGGGTGCAGGGGGTCTGGGTCCAGCAGGGGGAAGCTGGGCTCCCTCACCCATTGCCCCAGGGAAGTTAGGTGCCCTAAGTACATTCCCTCCTGCCTGCTCATCCCCTCCCTCTCCCAGGAACACCTGGAGGTCCTCCATCTCCTCCACAAGCTCATCTATGAGGAGGTTTTCCAGGATCTGTCTATCCTCATCCATCATCTGGCCAAAACGGTGCAGAGGCATAGCACCCTCCCAGCCCACATGTGGGTGCTCCTGGAACACAGGGTGGATGCTGAGGGTTTGTAGGTTGGGGCAGTGATCCAGGATGAAGTGGACCTGTTCAAAGGAGTACTGCCGCATGAATGTTAGGCGTAGGTGTGTGACTGAGCTCAGACATGATATCTCATTGATGGGCAAGTCACTGAGGGAGAAGGCATCCACACGGTCGGCAAAAATGCGACAAAACCTGGCCACTTCACTCTCAGTCCAGTAACCCTTCTGCAGCTCAACTGACTTAAGCATCTTAAACATTGGCACAATCTCTTCTAGATATCTCAATTCTAGCTCAGCATCATTTGGAACATCACACACACTATCAACAAATTTTGCTTTAGATAAATATAGATCTATATGGCTGTCTGATCTGTTGTTCTTGACATTCCAGAGCTGGCGAAACTTAGACAGGATCCTTCTGGTGAGGCCTGTATGCTTTCCAAAGCTGGAGAGCTGTGGCTGCAGCACCAGAGCCAAGATGTACACATCATGCAACACCTCCTCCTCAAAGTATAATTCATCTAGATCCAGCTTTTTCAAGTTGGGGAACTGCAACACAAACTTGTCACGGAAATCCTTCTCTTGGGTGAAGCGGGTGAGGATTCCCGAGGGATTTCTAGGATCTGATGGCGGAGGAATCCCAAAGAGGATGGGCCAGATATCCTTTTCCAGGACTGTGACTTCCATGCGTGGCTCCAGAAAGCACAGGGACTCCAACTTCGGGCAGTGTGCACTCAGAGCAAGGAGCACTGAAGGGGTTCCATTATACTGCAATTCATAAAAGAGGCATTAACATAACACTAGCAATAGCAATCAAAGTAACAAAAACCCTAAAAACTTTTAGTCAATCCTCATTTCTTCAGTAACTCAAACTGTTTCCCTCCTTTCCCCACCAACATTTTCCTTTCCATCCCGGAATCTCTCCCCTTTCTTGCCTGGAGCTCAATGTGCCTTAGGTCAGGCATTTCCCTGAAGAGCAAAGGCAGGAAATCAGGGTCATGGAAGTAAACCCCCTCGAGAACCAGTGTCTTGGTAGGCAGGTGGTAACTCTCCCCATTTTGGCGCGCAAATGGAAGGCTCTTGGTGCCATTCCAGCCCTGCCGTAAGTCAGAGAGAACGTCCAGGATAGCTCGGCATTCTTCTGATGTGATATCCAGCCCTGTGCCTGCGACAGGGGGGGGTAGGCCATTATGGTCCTCAATCACTGCAATCTAGGGGAGGGAAGGAAAAAAAAAGTTTCTATACAAGATTTCTAGTTTTACATGTAAGGAGAAATAAATCCTAGTGCCAGAAAAAAGTATATTTGTACACTACAAATTTTATATATGTACGTGTGTGAGTGCGTGTGATGTGCATGTGCATATGTGTGTGTGTGAGTGTGTGTGTAGAGTGAGGGATTTAGAGAGACCCTCACAAGTGTTAGTAAGCATTTAATAGTAATAAATATTCATCACATTTTTTATTATATTATGGAATAATATGAAACACTATGATGTAAATCACCAACCACCAACACATTCACTATCATAAATACTACCATTATCACTATCAACCTCCTTACCATCACCACCACTTTCATCCTCCTCTCACCTGGTCGATGGTGACTTTTGGGCAAAGCACCAGCATGGTGGTTAGATAGATGGGTGGGTTATGACGACTCCTCAGACCCGAGATGAGGTTCTTGTAGAGCTGGTCTTGCATCACTCGTGAGAAAAGAACTTCTCCATACTGCTCGATGAACCACTTTAGCACACTGATGAGATGGTTCTGAGGGAGAAGGGTGGAAAGGTAAGATGACAGAAAGAGAGGGAGGGTCATAAATGGTACAGTAGGTGAGAAAGAGAGGGCAAGGGAGCTTAAAGTGACTATTTCAGAAATTGAATGAAAATCTAAATTTATACAAGATGTACAGCATAAACATATATACACACAAACATACACAACTGCAAATACACATGCACAGACACACATACACACAGACTCACACAGACAGACACACACACACACACACACACACACACACACACACACACACACACACACACACACACACACACACACACACACACACACACACACACACACAAAACTGCAAATGGACACAAAATCCACATAATACACCTTCTATTCTAGTGCTAATGTGTGACGTCTCATGAACATTTAGTCACTGTATTGTTTATAGTACAAGGGAAAATTGTGCCTCACCCTTTCATCCACCTCTATGATTGAGAGCTGCCACACAGCCGTGATCAGGCTCCGTGCAATGCGCCATCCACATGCACGATGTAAGCTCCCTGGCCTCATGACTGCCTATGTATTGCACACAGTTGGTTAATGATAAGACATCAGTATTGGAGAGGAAACCTTGATCTGTAAAAAAGAGAAAATATATATAAATACATATATACACACACACGCACACGCACACGCACACACACACGCACACGCACACGAACACACACACATATATACACACATATATATGCAAAATAAAACTAATAATTATAAATATAGATATAATGATTAAAAATCTGAAGATCATAAACAAGTAATTAAAAATATTTAAATGCTAGATATGCTATATAAATATCTATATATATCTATATATATCTATATATATATATATATATATATATATATATATATATATATATATATATATATACATATATATATTTTTTTTTTAATAACAATAATAATATCAATATTATTATTATTATTATTATTATTATTATTATTATTATTATTATTATTATTATTATTATTATTATTATTATTATTATTATTATCATTATTATTATTATTATCATTATCATCATCATTACTATTGTTGTTACTTTTATGATGATGATGATGATTATTTTTTTTTTAAATAATTATTATAACTATCATTATTACCATTATCATTATCATCATTATTAGCTTTACTATTGTTGTTGCACCTATCTTTATTATAGTCCATATTACTATTATCATTATCATTATCTACATAATAATTTTCATTATCATTACAATTTTTTATTATGTCCTTATTATAACTATCTTTACCATTATCATCATTATTATCATTCTTATTATTATTATCATCATCAATATCATTACTGTTGTTATGCCTATCTTCATTATATTCATTATTACTATTATCACTATCAAAAATATTATTTCTATTATCATAATCATTAGCATTTTTATCATCAGTCATTATTATCATTTTCCGTATCATCAGTTTCATCATTATTGTTAGCATTATCATTATCATTTTTGTTATCTGAGTGGCATTTTCAAATGGGTCTTCTTAATGCCAGTGACAGAAAGTAGATCCAGTCACCTGATCTCGGTGTATCTAGAGCACAGATTTCACAAGGAATGCACCTTTGGTACACGGTATTGGTACAGAACAGTGGATCAGGATTTGATGGTGAGAAATTAGAGATTGCAGAGTAATATATTTGCTTAGAGCAAATCCAAGAAAAAAGCAATACAAATAAGACTGGGTTACTAAAGATTTGGAAGGTGTAACAACATATAAGGGTTGGTCCATATCAGAGATGGTCCCTTTTTTTTTTTTTTTTTGCGACATTATCTGATAAACCACCATATTACATGTTATATTTTACAAAATGTCATTACTCAAAATTCAGTGAGTAATGCTTACCATATGAAAAAGGAATTACAGCAAAGGTGTCTCTAAAGAAGAGATAGCAGTGCATGATATGTAAGAGAAATGGGGCCAGATACTCAAACACATTATAATGACGTATCTTCATAAGGCACATAACTTACAGCCGAGTACACCTACAGCCCAAATACAAAACAAAGCTATCCATCATGTTGGTACAAATCAAGGCGCCGTAGAATGAAGCAAGGGGGAGAACTACTCTAGCAGATTACAGCAAACCATAATGATATTTTTTCAGCTTTAAATTAATTAGTGAAACCTTTCAATTTATGTTTTGTACAAATATAGTGCTAACAGTTGTGTATGAATCAATCTTGGACTACTAACTAAGGCATTAAGTGTGATATTCCAATATAACTGTGAATTGCTTTTGCCAACAGGCATATATCTCACTCCAACCAAAGTGTATCTGTAAACAAGGTATTACACTAAAACTAACATAAGTACTGTATTCACCTTGTAGGTAATGTTTTAATTATGTCCTTATTTTTATTACAGTCAATATACTATTAATAACAATACTTCCACTATTATTACTGTCATTTGAGGGGGATGGGTATAAATCAAGAAGATTTAGTGAAAAAAAGAGAGGCACAGATAGAGTTAAGCCTTCAAAACTTATTCTAATCATTATCTATTAAACTGGCAATAGGTAGGAAATTCAAAGCATGCTAAAATTACTCTTCTCAAGGAGACAATACTTTATACCTATATTTCACAATCCTTATCATTCATTTAACCCCTTCCTGACAGGTAGGCGTGAAAACAAACCGCTCGAAAAGTGGCGTGCGGCTGTACGCCGTGGCGAGCCAGCCAGATGTACTGAACTCATGCGCACCGCCATTGTTTGCCAGAGCGTAGTTTTTTTTTTGTTTTCTTCACCTGTCACCATTAGGTTAATAAGGTCAGTGTTTTTTTTATAAAGAATCTTGCATACTTCTGCTTCGCTTATTTTGGAAAGATATTAGTTCAAAGTTTTATTGTGCCATGGGCTGGACACAGTATAGTGTTTACAAACAATTCAGGTGAGGACATTTATGGCTTGTGACTGGTTAAGATTCCATGAAACAGCAGCTGTGACTACTGAAGGTCTGACGCTGTAAGTGATTTTTGGCGGTGTTGGGTCTTAAGGTGGGGATATGGCACCGGAAATTTTTTTTGAGTTTACAAAGCTATGTCCAAGATACAGGGTATTGGCCAGGCTG